AAAAACAAAATCCTGTCTTGTATTTTCTTTCGATACACATCATTTTCTACCATTTTTCAAGTTTCTTTAAAAGAAAAAAAAGGATAAAAGGGGAAAAATAAATTTGTAAGCAGTAGAAAACATGAAAATGTGATTTGGTGTCAACAAAAGTCAAAAAATGTTTAAAATGTATCTTTTTTCTTTTAATTTAACTGGATTTTTGTAGATTTCTGAGTCCATTATGTGTAAAGAGAAGTTTTCAGACTGTTTGACATCAAAAAGCATTTTATGCAGTTTCTCTTTTTTATTTGGATAGAAAAATAGATCTCTTACCAGTACAGTATTTGTGATACGTTTATTATCCTTTATTGAGCCAAGTGTAACTGAGATCAACATTTTTTGCAAAACAAATAAACTAAAATTAATGCCTTGTCATAGCAACTTACATCACTGTACAGTAAAGTGTTGCCTTGCACTTGAGCAACATCATGGACACTCTGTTTTTCCCTTCAGCTGACCAAATTAAGTTCAAATTAAGATTATTACTTGGACTAGAAATTGGATTCTCTGCCTTTTTATGAGTCTGAGCCCTTCTACACTGCAAATCACAAAATCTCACCATGTATTTTTGGTCTAGTTTCTAGTGCAAGCATCTTAGTATGTTTGAAATAAGGCACAACTGCCCTACAAGTAACTTTTCAGTGAAATATTGGAGCTTCTTTTTAGTTAATAATTCCTTGTGAAAAAGTACTTGTCACACTGGCAGATTATTTCACTTCTAACAAGACATTTTTCTAAGTTAAGTTAAATAACCTAGTACATTCTCATCAATATTTTTAAATTATTGACTTAAAATAAATTTCTACATTGTGCTGAAACTTGCCACTTTGTCAAATTTAGTGTTTTACAGTGTACTTTTGTAGAATAGTGTCAGGTTAGCAGCAGATTGTGTTGAGAGATGATGCGTTTCTGAAATAATCCAGATCCAGCATGACTATATAAGTAAGGCGTGACGCCTGCTGGAGGGTTCAAAGGTTACCCACACACCCAGTGCGTTGCCTCAAGTGAGATGGAAAACCCAACTTGTACATTTTCTGCACTTTGTTATCTAATGAAGATGTAAAAATGTCCAAAGAAAAACATGCAGAGCTGAAACTTGATAGAGATAGATAAATTAATTTGAAGAATTTTGTTTTTTTTAATGATAGAATATTACAGAAGTATTCTCATGTTTATTTTTGATTCTCTTTTTATATCCTGATTTTAATTATATTTTTATACATCTTATACTGCAACTGATTATTTCCTCATTGATTTATTTGTTCTTTCATTCTATTTTCTATGTAAAAGGCTCAAACATGTGTATAACTTTTTAATACTTTGTGTCATAATTAGAGTTAGAAAACAGCAATATTAGAGTCACAGCACCACCTATCATCACTTTTGCCCCCAACCAACCAGACTTTTGCATAAACTTTGTAAATTGTGTTTGATAAACATACTAAAAAAATACCAGCCTGGATTACAAGAATGTCTGTCTGAATGAAAACAAATAAGACGTTTTACATTTTTATTTTGGGAAAATTCCTGGCATTTTTATCAGATTTGCATGAAATAACTTCAGGTTCCACTAGGGGGCGGTATAGCTTCAAACATCACGCAAAGCTTCTTTTATTTGTACTTTGCAAAAATATTGAAGATAAATTTTGGGCTATTTCACTCATAACATGGGAAAAATGTCTGGTTACAAGTGAAATAATCTGCCTGAGGAACAAGAACTTTAAAAAAATGGATATTAAGGAATTATTTACTTAAAATAAGCTCTTATATCTTGCTGAAATTTTACTTGTACTGAGTAATTTTGCAATGTTTTGTTTATGTTTTAACTGTTATCATTAACCAGATTAATACCTGGAAATGAATCTGGTTACTGGTTTTGAATTAATCTGCTTACTGGGAGTGAGTGGGAAGGCTGCGCCCAACTTAAATTATTATTGTGATTTCTCAGAGGCTGAAAAGATTACGGGCAGATAAGGAGCAAAGAAAGGTGAACATTTTTCCTAACTTCAGACCCTAAAGCATGACATTTACTTTGACTAGACCAGTTTGTTTTGATTGACAATGTGACGTTCATTCCTTGTTATTGTGTTGTCAAATCATTCACTAAATTATTGATTTAAGGCAGAGAAAAGGGAAGGAAAATGATCTCACAGTCATGTGGTTAAAGGTCCTTTAACAACGTAGCACCACCAAAGATAAAGGAAAATAATCCTTCAAGCATCAATCCCACTGCATGATGCTACCTCCACCATACATGCACTGCAAAATATTTTTGGTCTAGTTTCCAGATAATTAGACACATTGGAGTTGAAATCTTTGACTTTTCAAAAACCAGACATTTCCATGTTTATTCTAGAAAATTTAATCTAAAAATGTAGGAGTTTTTTTATAGTTCATTTTTAAGTGTCTGAAATTAGAAATTTCCCTGTTTTTTCTATTATCTCAGTTTAATTCCAAACTATGAGTTTTTTCTAGCAAATTTTTGACTTTTCAAACTCAGAAATGTCCATGTTTTTTCTAAGATAACAATCTTTCAGATTAATCTCTTTCTAAATTTTGTGACTGACATTTACTTGTCCTATTCTTATTCACCAGAACCGTCGTAAAAACCAATGGTGGTCATCATCAGTGAGCGTGTTTGTTTTTTTTGTTTTTTTGCGGGGGTCTTTTGGCGTCACGTTCCCAATAATCTTGTTATAAGTCAATAATTGTTGAATATTAAGTTTTGCCGATGAAATATGAGTTGCATCTGCAATTTTCAAAAAACTAATAAAGAGAAAATGTCTGTCTGTGGAACTTGTACTTATTATTGATATCAACTGTTTATTCTCAACACATTTCATGGTGGAAAGTGATGTTTGAGAAAATGTTGGCATTGTCTGCACCTTTCCTGCCAACAGGTTTACAGTAAACTTAAGTGTCGACTTTCTCGCTCTCCAGTAAGTCGCTACAAATAGAAACACTTATACTGGGACCAGTTCTATTTCTGGGATAGGGAAGGAACAGAAGGAGGTGACTTAGCAAAGTAAACAGAGGAGTATTAATAGTATTTAGGTGACTTATTGACCTCTGTTTTTGTATCCACATTGTTCTATTTCTTATTTATTCATAATTAATTCAGCAGGATAATTCACATTCATGTAATAGCCACATGGTGGCGCTGTGCAGAATAAACCTCTTCTCACAAACATCAAATAAACAGATGAATAAGCAGAAAAATATCAAGATTAAATGCAATAAAACCTGAAATTGTAGAAGGAAGTGTAAGTTACTTGATTATCCATCTATCTATACATTCATTCATTAGAGCGAGCCCAAACACATTTTCTTTCTATTTTGTGATTTTATTGTCATGATTACATGATGTTCTTATAACACTGATGTGACTTGAACTCCTAAACTTGTGAAATATAAAAACATATAAAACCACCAATAGGGAAATAAGTGCTACTGTTATAACCTCCATTTAAGCATTTTCTCAGCTTAAATGAAGGTTAAGCTGAGCAAATGAACAATTCATTTATTGATAACCGATTAAAACATGTTTCCATACAGACAATAAATCTATATGTAGCACCTACAAGGAATACATAATTGTTGTGATTTTTATATTCTGGCTTGCTATTCAACTATACTAGCAAAAGCCAGCCCTGAACCTATGTTAAAAAGTTAAAAATTATTTTCATTTGACTCTTCATTAACAATCGCTAAGCATATTGGTTTTTCAAGGTTGTGAGAAAAATCATTAACTTTATATTTGGAAAACAAATATAAACTTCAAATAGTGTATACATAAAGACTTCAAATTGCTTTTAAGAATGACTACAGACATTTAAAAATGATCATTTTGTCTATTTGCGGCTTACACAATAAAATATTTGACATTTGACCAACACACATCATGCGATAAGACATTGGATTATGTCTTATTGCATAAACAAATGCAATAAAGACATTTGATTATGCAATCAAATGTCTTTGATTGCATAATCAAAAACATTACTTTTCTTTCAGACTACTTTAACTTGGACAATTTTCTCATGTCATTAGAGAAATCCATCAATTCATACAACTCAACAAGGCCCACAGTACACAATATCATAATAAGTAAAGAAAACCAGTTTAATGGAAAAACCCTTTCTGGATTAGATGAAACATAAAGCATGGCAGTCTTACAAACAGAATGAAATCATAAAACATTTTTTAAAAATAGGCAAAAATTAAGGAAAATTTTCGACATGTGTAAGAAAACTGTGTTGTATTTTGAGTTGCACAGATTCAGTGGATTTGTCTGATCTTATGATTTTTTTAAATGTTATTTTACAGTTTTTTGTTATTATTTCTCCAAACATTCACTGTCAGATTTAAAACAAACAAATATCTTTACGTTTGTAATTTTTAAAATGACTCATACTCAATCATTCTTCTGTTTAGGGTAGTTTTAAGATTTTAAGATTTCTGTGGGAAATGGGACTGATCGCTAATGACGTCACGGTTACCCGGATGTTGGGACAGCGTCAATTGAACTCAGTTTCAAAATTTTTCGATACAGAAACATAGTGTGGAAAAACTTAAACGATGGCTGAAACACAGAGGACTCAAAGTGACTGGGAAAAAAGGCAGGATTGTTGGAAAGGTAGCCGTTTGTTCCCTTTTTTTCTGACTACCGGAAGTGTCACCTTGCTAGCACAAGGTGACATTTAAGTTCCTCTGCGTCGATGTAAGTTAATTGCAGTTGATAAACAACTATTGGTGAACTTAAAATTTTACATCTTTGTAACCCAAATCAGTGTACCAGAAACAAAATCAGCTGTTCTTAGGTACAGACGTTTTTCCTCAAACACAGCTTATGCCTCCGGGTTATCGAAGCTAAAATGGCCGCGCTGTGCTCTGTTCTAAATTTAGTGGTATGACGTCATTTACAATCAGTGTCATTAACCAGGGCACAAAGACAACCCCCCCTCCCAAAAAAAACATATTTCTCTGTACGTAAAACTATTTTCTGTTTTATTTTCTATATGCAGCTAAAACATAATTAATTCATTCATGAAGTTAAACCAATCAGCTTTGCTTATTTGTATGTTTTTTCAAATAAGCAAACTGGCTGTTGCTGATTAAAATTCAGGTTGGTGGGAGCAAAACATAAAGAGAAATACAGAGGAGGATTTGGGACGCTAAAAAAAACAAAACAAAAGTCTGAACTTTCTCCAAGAAATCTAATTTTAATCTCAGAATTCTGACTTGAAACTTTTGAGAACAAAAGGCAGAATTTTGAGATTAAAGTCAGAATTATGTTTTTCCAAGTTGTCCTAATCATATTCTCTACAGAAAGCCTTTGTTTTTTAAGAAATTGTATTTGTAGATGTAAACTAGACCACTGATTTTAAAGCTTCCTTGTCTAAAATCCTCACTCCTGCAGTATACGTCAACTAAATTAAATTTGGCAGTGGAGTCTGAAAGAACACAAGATTTAAATCCTACTTTAAAACGGTATACTTCGAGGTTAGTATACCGTTTCAAAACGCTTTCTTCCACTGCTTTTTTGAAACAATTCATTCCTGTTTAACAACCAAAGAGTTATTTTGGGTCACTTCTCTTTGTTATAATTAGAACTAGTACAGTTATAGGAAACAGACGCTTTCTTGCAGCAGTATGTTCAACAGCAGTTTTACAGCCCTGAATTAGGAGACCAAATTCAATTTCCTTTGCAGTACACTGCCTACAACAGCATGTTGATGCATTGTAGAATGAAAAGAAGAGTAAATTTGCAAGAAAAAAACTCAGAAATTTTTATATTAACGTCAGAAATTTTCTAGAGAAATCTTTTCTAAGTCTCAAAAGTTTAAAATTTGTGGTCTTTGGAGCTCACAAATATTTTACCTCTTAAGTAATCGGAACACAACAATGGTCTGTGATTGATGTGAACAGTAACAAAAAGGCACATTTGGCATCATGCATAACCACAAACTTCACAAAATGTTTTGCAAATATTTCTAAATTAGTTCCACAAATCAGTAATTTCTATCGCAAAAAAATGACAAAATGAAAAAAATTTTTACTTTTGAAACTTAAAAATTTCCATGTTTTTTCTGGAAATTTTTTGATATTAATGTCAAAGTTTGAGAAGTGTCCTTGCAAATATTTGAGTTTCCAAAGGCAGAAATTTCCATGTTTTTTCTGAAGAATTTCTTAGATTAATCTCAAAATTTCAGTTTCGCATAGCAAAATTTTAACTTTTCAAACTCAGAAATTTCCAAGTTTTTCTTAAAAATTTCTGAGTATTTTGGCAGACATTTACTCCTCTGTTATTATCTATCTACATGGCCCTAATACACCATTGTAACTTTCAGCCCTTCCTTCTCCTACAATCAGGCGCTGACAAACACCAGGCGGGTGGAGTAGATGAGGTCGACCAGGTAGAGAATAAAGTTGACCCCAGTGAGCACAGCCACCGCCATGCACTTGTCCCAAGTGCACAAGCCAACTGCAGAGCTGCAGTTGTATGGTCTCTGTTTCTGGCCACCATTATGGGGGTCAAAGTTGAAGATCGGCCAGATGATGGTCGCTGACATATAGAGGACGACTGCTAGCAGTGAGTAGGCGGAAAGGAAGCGGGCGAATGGAAATGGGAGGAACCCAGTGCACTCGCCGATGCAGAGCAGGATGATGACTGCAGTCAGGATGAAGCAGATGCAGTACACCGACATGCAGTACTTCACTGAATGGTGACGGTCGTACAACACAGGTTCACTGATGAAGACGAAGATGACGCAGGCCACGAAGGTCTCCAGGACTTTGAGCAGTCCTGGAGCGGTGGCCATGTAGCCGGCGACCTCGCCTGGCCGAGCCTTGGTGAGGGTGACCTCGCTCATATAGGCGATGGTGGCCAGACAGGAGAAAACGGTGCACACGATGCGGAAGTCGCGGATCTCGCTTTGGTCTCCAGAACCCCTCAGGAAGTAGATGGGAAAGATGATGGAGGCCGAAAGGCAGAGCAGGGCGGCGTAGCACGCAAAGGTGATGGGGAAGTTCTTCCAGGAAACGGGGGCTCTGGACTGCAGGCCGAAAAGCTCCACTAGGATGACGAGAAGAGTCCCAGCGAAGCTGAAGGCCCAGCAGAAGATGCAAAAGTCTCCAGTGCGGAGGTAGAGTCTGGCCCCATGCAAACCCACAGAGAAGGCCACACAGGTGAAGACCAGCGCAGCCAGACGTGTCCAGAGCAGAGGACTGGACTTCAGGACGACAGGCATGGTGAGATTTATCCAAAGGTTTTCTTCCTGAAGCAGATTTTCACTGCCAGCCTTCAGCAAAATGGTAAGCTGTAAGAAACAAAAGAGAAAAACAAGTACTTACATAAAACCATGTGAGCTCTGCTCAGTCATCCTACACACCGTTTTCCCTGGCGGACAACGTTCTTATTGTTTTCATGAATGGCAGACACAACAATTCGGAGCATGAAAACCCAATTCAAAACCACAAATAAAGACTCCACTGTGGATGCAATTGTCACAGTACATTTACAGATGAGAAACGTTTCTTCCTTTAGGTGTTTGTGGAACTGAACACTGAATCTTGAACTCTGACGTTCCTTCATGACGAGCCTCCATGCTCACCTCCTCCATGATGGATGGACATTTTAAACTCCACCAACCCCCTCAGCATGTCTGTCGTCATGTTCTAAACACGGCCTCCCTCATGCGCTCCCTTTGCAGGCATTGTATATTGAAAAAAATACATTCAATTTCCACCAGAAACTCAGAAGTCTTTTAGAATAAACAAGAAAATTTCCAAGCTCCAAAAGTAAAATAGATTTCTAGATTTCTTTAGATTTCTTTAATTTTAGATTAATCTCAGAAATTTAATCTCAGAAATCTCAGAAATTTTCTAGCAAAACTGTAAGTTTCTGAGTCTCAAAGGTAAAAAATGTTCGACTTTTGACAGACAGAAATTTCCATAGTTTTGCTGGAAGATTTCTGAGATTAATCTTAACATTTCTGAATATGTTTGGCAAAAATATACTATCTATAAAGGCCCTACTACGTCATTGTACTTCCCAAGGAGCTAATGCGCTCTTGAATTTTGAACTTAAACCCCAGTGAAGATTACGTTAACATGTCAAAACATTATTTTTTGCCAGTTTTTGCCTAAAATTACTGACTTATATCTTCTTGAAAGTTACTTGTCAGTCATTGTTGTCTTATTTCAAGTGTATTAAGCTATTTTCACTATAAACAAAACAAAATACTTGGTAAGATTTTGTGTTTTTTCTGTGCTGTTTTGTTTCTAGCATGGATCTATGTTCAGTTGAAAAGAGAAACACTGAAAACCAAAACCTACCGGCCAGTTTGCAAAACCTAAACTTATTTAATCTGGTTAATTTAAAGTTACATTTCCATCTCAATGGAAATTTTTACAGTTAAGAGGGAGTCTGATTATTCTGCACTGACCATTCACTCCTAGTCCCTTAGTGACACTCATCACCCATTTGGCTCCGCAAGCGGTGCATTCCCAGTTCTCAGTTTACACAGGGAGACAGCTATAAACAAAGATAAAATTCCTGCTCATGTCAGGCCTATTAAGCGCCAACAAAAGTTTCATGGCTGCACAGTTAAAATTGGAGGTGAGAAGACAAAACAGCTAACAAAGAGGGAAGGAAATGGAGATGTGGATGTGTTAAAATTCCCTGAGGATGGGTGAGGAGGTGGGAGGGAGACGGAGGGAGACGGGGGAAGCCCTGCGCTCGGCCGCAGAAGGACTCAGCGTGTAAACATAGTGATGGTTGAAATAGCTGCAGAGTGAGTCAGCAGTGGTCCTAGTTCCTTTCACCACTCTCCCTCACTCTCTACACCTCCTCCTTGATTTCTGGTCAGATTTTCCAACTTGCTTGATGTGATCCAGATGTTGCTGTCTGAACAACTGGCGACTCATATCTGCACTCCTTCCCTGCTATTTAGTAGCAGCTCCCCTCATGGTTTCCATAAGGGCTTTGCGTTATTTCCCCTCCCCTCTCCAGCTTTTGCAGTTGTGGCTACCAGCTTGCGTAAACCATTCAAAACATACATGAGGGTTCAGCATGGAAAAATCCAGCCCCATTCCTGCCACCACCACTGCTTTCCCGCCTGCTGCATTCAGTTAGGAAAGAAATGACATATAGGAGAAAAAGGAAAAGTGTGGAAAAAGTGTTGTTTTTTGCAGCGCAGCACGGAAAACATTACAAGTTCACACTTTAAAAAGAGGACATGACAGCATGCAGGAACGAGGCGTTCAGGAAGCAACTTTCCAAGAGGTCAAGGCGTGCTGTTTGTTTCGTTGTCATGACACAACATCACTTACTCAATTTGACCTGTAATCCATTTACAGCAAAATGCATGATGGGTCAAAACACAAGACAGGCCTCTGTTGGAAAACGATCCCTGTGACAGTGAGTCAGAAAGGGCAAAAAAATCTGATAATTTGAATCAAACTGACCCATGGCACATAAAAAATTTAAAGTGAAGAGGTTGGAACAAATTCCTTAATCAAAAAGACTATAATTAATTTAGAGCCAGAATATTAGAAGGGAGCTAGTTTCTATCTAAAGTTATGGATCTGTTCCAGGCTTTTAGTGAAGTTCAGTCCCTGACATTCAAGGTGGCGTGCTGCCTGCCACGCCCTGCTTCCTGCACCTCAACATGCAGCAGGGTTCACTGGTACAGCTGCATAATTAAGCAAGACAAACTGTAAGGAAAAAATATCTACCAATCTAAATTTAGAATAATTTTTCTCTCTTTGCCATGAGAAGGTGAAGTGCCTGGCATTATAGAACCACTTTGAAAACCCAGCTGTAGATTCAAAATAAATCTATCATTTAGACACAGAGTCATATTTTAAAACAAATGTTTTGTGTCACTGTATTCCTTGTTCCATTTTTATTTCATGAATGTCATTATCAACACCAGTTCTCTTTATACATTACAAAAATTCTGGTGTTTTCTAAATTTTAAACCCCTTAAATTGCAGTTCCACGGCTTTTAGGCTGAACAAGTTGATTTTATTTATTATCCCAAATGGAAATGTTTTGAAAACTGTCGTAAAAAAGTCAACAAGGTTTCTCCAGGTGAAAAACAATAAAACACTAAATTTTTCTTTGGGACTCATCAATTATGTTTAACTGAAGGAAGGAATGGAAAATAAATAAATATAAAATGAACAGTAATGGTGAATTGCTTAAAAAGCTTTTTGAATGGGACTTAGCGGTGTAGAAATTGCAAGAGGTTGAAACAGGTTGCTCCATTTAGAAAAGAAATAATAATGAGGATTTTTTTATACAACCAAAAATACTTTAAGCCATTTGTGACAGTGCAGCAAAATATATGCATAATTACAATAAAAAAACAACAAAGACTTTTAAGTTGTTGCATTTCCACCATCCAGACTGATTTTTATTTGTTAAACGTTTTTCATTTCCAGCCTTAAGAAAATGTTATTTTATTTATAGCTCATCTGACTGCTAGTGGCTCATGTTGAAGTAAAACTCGATAACGTTGGTGCCTCTCAGGCTGCCACACCCTTCTTCTGCACATGAGTCTCTACAGAAAGTGGCACTGGACTGGAACAGAAATTCATAACAAAAATCAGCTAAAATAGAAAAAATTTTAGCAATTAAGTTGTTGAACATGTGGAACATTAAATAACATAAACTTAACTTTCACCTTTTCTACTCTTTTTAAGCTTACACTTTCTCCAACATGTATAACCTATTTTATGTACATTTAAATCTTATAAGTGGCATTCTTAAGAATTTAAAAAAACTATTTAAATGACAAATCTTATCGTGCTGGGTTCACAAAAATCCCTTGATTTTGTTTTTCCTGTTAAATGAAGACGTTTCTTACCTTTTTTCCTGATGCTGGTCTCTGTTCTCCAGAGCAAGCAGAGGTAGAAAGATGCAGATTGTAACTCCTCAGCCCTCTGGCTGAATTTTCTAACCCACCCCCAGGTCGGCGGCTCCACGCCCAGAAAACCAAATTTGGCGGTGAACATATGCACCGTTATTCACATCTGTCTGAACTCCTCCTGCTCCTCCTCCTCCAACAACGATGACGACCAAATGACCGGGGCTTCTGTTGCTCAACTCCCACAGAGCAAAAGTTCAGCCTCTTGCGTTTCGATGGTTACTTACATTGTGCTGACTGCTGAAGTCTCCTGTTTGTAACTACAATATGACTTCACTCATTCAGTCAAAGTTTATACAGGGAAACTTATGAGTATTCTAAGTTTTTATTGTGAAACTTGCATAATTCTCTGCTATGCAATAGTAATACCATTGTATTTTTAACTTTCAGATTGCCACAACATGCTGCACGGCTGCAGCTTTGGTTTATTTGTATGTGTTGCCTGGCTACATTGTAAATTCACCGAAGGCCTTCTACGTTTCCTGACTAACTTTAAAAAAAAAAAAAGACGGGGAAATTTTTTAGTGCACTTTCATGAGGGAGATAAAGCCTCCGCCGAATGACATCACCCACTATTATGTCTGAAATGAGTCAGATTTAGATGGTTGCTCTAAAACATTAGAGCAACCATCACAACTTTTGTCATATGTAATAAAAATGTGCAAAACTCCTTTAAATAGTTTCATATTTTTAGCTTTATCTCACAGTGAAATCTGTCTAAAAAGTCAACCTTTTATTTATTTCATTTTGGCTGAAATCCATGTTAAGAAATAATGTTTATATCATAAAATCCACAGGTTGGAGTCAAACTTTATAGGAAGTATCTCTGAAATATCACTATAAATTACACTTTAAAATTGATCATACTGTAGATGCCTTCAATTACTCTGTCTTGACTTTGTTTTCATAAAGTATATATTTTTTGTTTTGTTTATATGTGTTTATTATGACATTATTATGGATGTAAAGTTTATCAATACTGGTCTATGTATTATTCAAATTCACTTTAGTCAAAAAGATATTTTCTCCTGACTGTTATTGCGCTTGACATTTGGTGGTTACCAGTAACTATCACCTAGTCTCCTTTTTCTGTTGCCACCTGTAAGTGTGGTTCTGAAACTGTCTTGAAGGAGAAATAGGAGATTAATGTTTGGTTTTTGAAACTGAAAGATTTCCAAAAGGTCTCTTTTTTTGTGTTTGAAACTCCAAGTGTTTTCTGGTAAATTTCTAGCATAACTCTAAAAATTTCTGAGTTTTTTTCTCACACATTTTTTAATGTTGAAACTCATAAATTTCCATGTTTTTTTTGGCAAAAATTCACTCCTTACGCTGAAGTCACCCTACTACGGAAGGGGATTAGGGCCACCGGAAAAAAAAAGATTTTTTAAATCTCAGAATTCTGAGATTAAAGTAATTTTTTTTTCTTGGTGGCCCTAATCCTCTTCTGTAGTGACCTTACTGACCTGAGACAAACAAAAAGGTTAACACATATGCAACAGTAATGTCACTGAATATTCATAGTCCAAATAAAAATACGATTTGTATTAAGTGGCAACAGCTGCAAAAAATAGTATATCTGTTTCTTAATTTAAAAATTTTTAAAAAAATCTGTCGTCTGGTTTGGGCCGATATGTTGGCTGGAAAACCTCTAGGTGGCGCTGCAAGATGTAACCAGTGAGCAACTGAATGGCTGCGTCAGAGGTTCTGTTGTGACGTTGCAGTTCCCGGGGCCGTTCGGAAGCATTCGGAAGAGTTCGCAGGTTGCGTGCGGGCTGTTGAACATCATGGCGTCAGGAGCAGGAGATCCGTCAAGCGGACGCGATGCAGAATTGGACGAATTACTGGACAGTGAGTGTTGACAGGAGGTTTGTCCTGACGGGTTGTTTCCCTGGGATGTTAAACCTCCTGGAAAGCCCAACTGGGACCCCTGGTTTGTTTTTGTGTCCGTGTCGGGACTCAGCGGATCGGGGCTAACATGACCGTTGACAGTTGGATCAGCCTTTAGTGGCCTTCCGACTGTTTGTAAAGTGGAAAAAAACTCATTTATATTCCTAAACTCCGAAAACAGTGAGCAGTTTTGGTTGTTTAACGTACAAAAGCCGGCCTTCATTTACTCTAAATCTGTACTTTTACTGTTTACTCACCGTTGTCTGGTGTATTTGTCATAACTTAATTACATTATGGGTCATTTTTTTAAACTCACGTACATTTTAGGAGGGAGCAGGCTTTCAACACTGATAGTTAAAATGTCTGCCAGGACTACTGCAAAGAAATTATACGTATTTCAATATTTAATTTGTTGTTATGTCACTGTTTAATGCAATTATAATATGCAACGATCTAATTTGCAACTGAGACATATTGAAAGAGTAACCCTAACCAAAAATAATTACTCTGGATACAATTTTACAGTTATTGAGCTCATACGTTTTCCCAGTAAAAAAAGCTGATTTAACAAAGTAATAAAAACTCTATTTTTTCAGTAGCTACAACTGGACTCATAAAATCAAGGCTTTTGAGTAGATGTTTTGATTTTTGCATCATTGGTTTTTACCTGGAATAATAATAGAGATTTTTTGGATCGTGTACCTTTAAGGTGAAATGAGCTGGATGCAGCAGCAGCTTCGGACGTTTGAGACAAGTAATCAGTATCTTAGTTTAATAGCTAAACAGCCTGTGTTGAACCGAATCGGTTGTTTAGTGCTCGGTGTGTGGTAGTGCAGATGTTGGAGCTGGTGCTTTGCAGCAACCCAGACCTGGGTTCAAATCCCAGAATGTGCATATTCTTCTCATGCTTCAGGGTTCTTTTCTCTCCTGCAGAACATAATCAGAAAATTATTTATCAGTAAGTTACATTTTTGTAAACATCCCTAAGAACATGACTTTTCAAATAAACCTCAACAATATGATTGTTATTCTAAACAGCAAGTCAATTACCATATTGTAGTGTTATATTTTTCTAGCAACATACGGACATTTATTTATGTAATGGTTTAAAGTTTTGCTTATATCCTTAGATTTCTTCTTTGTCATTTCTCCTAATTCCTAAAAATAAATGATTAGCCGTTAGATTTGTGACTAACTTAATCTGATCTCGTGTTATCTTGTCTCTTCAGGTGCGTTGGATGATTTTGATAAAGCCTCTGCTGCTTCAGCACCTGAACCTGCAGCTGCTTCATCTTCTGCCAGCAGCAAGGCAGGAAAGGTTTGTTTTTTCTTCTTCATGCTCATTTTTCTCCAGCAGGTTGATTTTTCCTCCTGATAATGAGAGACTACGCTCAACTTGGTTTGTGAGAAGTTTTTTTCCCCGTTTGGATCTTTTTTGCAGGGAACTGTTTTACCATTAAGATGAATAATTTAAAGGCAATTTTTTTTGGGCTTTGTTACAGGTTTTTAACATTTGACAGTTTATTGAACAAAACATTTTTTGCAGTTCTTTAAAGTCTTAAGCACTGATTCTAAGCTGATTTGAGAAGGTCAAAGTTTGTCATAAATACCCTGCAGTGTAAATGCAGGTAAAAATAACCTGTATGTTTATTTAAATGTTTCTTTTTATTCAGCCTCCTCTATTAGAGGACAGCAAACTTTTCGAGACCCTGTTTGAGGGGGACATGGCGGCCCAGGCCAAGGAGGAGTTTGAGAAGGCCATGTCCGAGCTCGCCGAGGAGGAATCAGAACTCCTGCAGCACTTCCACAAACTCTCAGAGGCTGCAGGAAAAGTTGGTAAGTGCTCCCTGAACAGAGTTTATTTACAGTTCCTTGGAACAGTGTTCATGTCATCTCTCTTGTGCGCACAACTCTAATTCAAGAATGATACAGATTTGACCTGCCAGAACAGATGGTTAATGGAGATAGCCTTTATATTTTATTAATTCAAGCAAAATTATTATAGATTAATTAAAACCTTGCTAGAATCTTAGGTAGAACCAAAGGTACTTTTGTTTTTGCATTCTCTTCTCTTTTTACTGAATTGCAAACTTCGATTCACTGAAATCTGCTTTTAAATATTTTATTAGAAGTCATAAAAGTCTTTCTAGAGACGTAGTTGGACCAAGAGTGGCGGGACTGAGGATGTGATGCACTTCACTCACATAGTTTTCTTTCATAATTTTAAAATTACATTTTTCTTCCATTGTTTACGTCCGGATGTACAGTGTCTGGCTTCTTCTGGTCCAGAATTATGATGCATGTTACACAGAATAAAAAGCAACATGACTGTTCTGACTGCAGACACTTTGAAAACAATCAGATATGTATTTGATTTAGTACCACATATGGAAGTGGCACAAATTGGATTGTTTTTGAGATCAGAATTGGTCTGTTCAGACTGTTCTGATCTTATAATATCAGATTTCGGTCATATTTATCTGCTGCCTAAATATGGTGAAAATCTAAATCCGGCTGAGAATCTGGATCTCCATCCAGTTTTTCTACACTACACTCAATGATTTTACAAAGAAGAAGAGTAAAAATTTCAGTCACTTGATGTACAAAGCTGGTAGAGACAAACCGCAGGAGAACTGGTCAAATTTTTATGAATAAAAATCCATTTCATGACTATGTGGTACTTTGCATTTGTCTGTCATATAAAATCCAAACATAAAAATACCTTGACATTGAGGTTGGAAGGTATGAAAATGTAAAATAATCAACATTTTGAAAACGGTGCCTCTACTGGTTTACTTGGCTTATGCTGTTTGTTCTCTCCAGGCACTGATACTGCCTCCCAGCAAGAGTTCACCTCCTGTCTTAAAGAAACTCTTCGTGGCCTGGCCAAGAATGCAGACAACCTGCAGGTGAGCAGTCCGAGAAAATAAATAATAGCTCTGGAAATAATGAGTAGTTTATAGGCAATGTGTTTTGTTTCAGTCATCTGGTTTGGCTGGAGATGATCTTGTGAAAGCTCTGGAGGGTTTGGGGCTTGAAGAAGTCGGCGACGGAGGAGGTGAAGATGGAAACATCCTCCCCATCATGCAGTCCATCATGCAGAATCTCCTCTCTAAAGATGT